CAAGTTTCAAATAATGGGAAGGTAAGTAGTAAAAACTTTAAGAAAGCAGATGGACATTTTGTTTGTAAAACCTTAAGGGCTGGTAGCCAATCAATGAAATAAGTTGCACATTCTATATATGTATCATAAAAGAGAAATCATACAGGAAGTTAGAAGGCCACGAGTTGGTGGATAACTATACAACGAGGTGTTCACACTAAAATCCATGCTATCTCTGTCAAAGAATGTTGTCTTATCCGTAATCCTCCACACACAGCCGCAGTACATACCAGTGTATCAATGAAGTCCTCACCTGGTCCCTTACAAGGATCCGCCGGCCTTAGATAGAGTACCAAGCTTGCCCTTATTGTATTTCCTGTTTGTTCAGGGATCGTTTAAAAGGGTCACTAAGATCCACGATTTATCTGAGAATCAACGAAAAATCAACGGGGGTTTAAACTTTGACTGAAACATGTTTGCACGAGGAGCCAAACGCACCCTTATCCAGATTTCTAATCAGTATCTTTACAAAAAAATCAATTTAAAGAACACTGGTGCGTGAATTCACTTGGAAACTTCACAGGTTTTCAATTACATTAATTATAACCAATAAATGATTACACTGCGTTCAGGCATGTTCACTGCAGTTTTGAAAATGAACAAAAACTACGAAAATGGGTTAATTTGAGGTGGTATGCCGGTAATATTAGATAATTACAACCGTGGCATTTCGTGTCCTTTATTATTGAGAAGAGTAGAAAAATATCGAGAGAATGTTTACTATGTAAATAATTTGCTGTTAGAGAAGTAGTTTAAACCAAATCACCCTCTCTTGTTTCCTACGCCAGTAATCATGACTAACTACACTGTACTTCCTGGCGTGAGGTCTGTAATTTCACCATGTTGAACTTTCTTTTCCCAAGTAGTAAACTACCAAGCCTTATGAATAAGTAATCAGGGTTTCTACCACAGACGATTCAGTCTACGCTACCTATTACCAACTGTTTTAGGTGCAATCACATGTGAGTGCCTTATGATCACCTTTCTTATGTAGTTCTACGGTCGTCAGTGAAATTTAAGTGTTTTCTATTAGGAGATTTTCACTTTTGTTGTCGATCATTGGAAACAGGCATGTCATGTATGTTTCAGACGGCATGACAGCGAGTACAACATATATTTCAGACAATGCTTATTTCTACAGCACTTTCAACAGGACCTTGTGTTCCAGTTTTGTTGATCTATTATTTCAGTTTATGATGTTAATTGTTTTGTAATCGTAGAACTACTTATCGATTCGTGCAGGCGTTCTTATATGAGATGGTGCAGTATGGTTTGAATTAAGAATGAAACTATGTTTGATGGTGCAGGTTTGCTTGAATCAAGAATAAAGCTGTATTAGATGGTGCAGTATCGCTGGACTCAAGAATGAAACTATATTTGATTACAAAGTATGGCTTGAAACAAGAATGAAACTATATTTGCTGGTGAAGTATGGCGTGAATCAAGAATGAAACTATATTTGATTGTAAAGTATGGCGTGAATCAAGATTAAAACTATATTTGATGGTACAGTATGGCTTGAAACGAAGAATGAAACTATATTTGATTGTAAAGTATGGCGTGAATCAAGAATGAACCATATATTTGATTGTGAAGTATGGCGTGAATCAAGAATAAAACTATATTTGATGGTACAGTATGGCTTGAAACAAGAATGAAACTATATTTGATTGCAAAGTATGGCGTGAATCAAGAATGAAACTATATTTGATGGTAAAGTATGGCATGAAACGATGAATGAAACTATATTTGATTGTAAAGTATGGCGTGAATCAAGAATGAACCATATATTTGATTGTGAAGTATGGCGTGAATCAAGAATAAAACTATATTTGATGGTACAGTATGGCTTGAAACAAGAATGAAACTATATTTGATTGCAAAGTATGGCGTGAATCAAGAATGAAACTATATTTGATGGTGAAGTATGGCATGAATCAAGAATGAAACTATATTTGATGGTGCAGTATGACTTAAATTAAGAATGAAACTATATCTATTTGATAGTAGAGTATCGCCTGAATCAAGAATGAAACCGCATTGGATGGTGCATTATATCTGGTTTGAATCAAGAATGAAAGTGCATTAGAAAATGCAATATAGCTGGAATTCAGAATGATTGTATAAGATGGTACAGTATGATTTAACTCAAGTGTGAAGGTATAGAGCGGCGGTTTTCGTACAGTGTATGCAGTATAAGATGGTACAGTATGACTTAACTCAAGTGTGAAGGTATAGAGCGGCGGTATTCGTACAGTGTATGCAGTATAAGATGGTACAGTATGACTTAACTCAAGTGTGAAGGTATAGAGCGGCGGTATTCGTACAGTGTATACAGTATAAGATGGTACAGTATGACATCAAGTGTAAAGGTATAGAGCGGCGGTTTTCGTACAGTGTATGTAGTATAAGATGATGCAGTATTGACCTATACAGAGTTCGTGGTTGTACACCGCTATTTCTATGGTTTGTTATATCGGATCATGTAACATGGAGTGAACTAACAGTGAAGCTATTTTAAGCTAGTATTCGTAAGGTGAATGTAGTATGACATTGTATTGTTTTGTTAAGACTATACGTTTGTTTTTCAGACGTCGTGTATTCTATAAACCACTTCACTTGATTATTCTCTGGTATTATTTGGTGAAGACCTATTTGCCCCATAAGCTTGTTCCAGCCAAAGTTATTTGTGAAGCAGTGGTTCAGTTGGAAGTCTTTTGTTGGGTGTTGGTGTATATTGAAGTACTAACCGAGCTCGGACTAATTCCATTAGTTTATCATTTAATCTGTTCTTATTAAACCTTGCATAATTAACTTCATTTTAATGGTGTTATATAGAATGGCCATTTTATTGACATCCAATGCACTGAGTTTAACATATAAAACATTAGAGATTTTATCTATCACCAAGAATTTCAGGCCAATCTATAAAGATAACTACGAAAACCGATATACACGTAGACACCTACGGGGCGTTTGTTTTACTTTTTCTTTCCAAAGTAAAGATGGTAATCTTGAGTCCGACGCTCACCTGTCTATACGCCTTTAAAAGCCGATGATTCACGGTATAATTTAACTAGACAGTTTTAAACAATTATGTTTAGGAACCAAATCAGATGAGAAACATTTCAACAACAATCGATAAAAACTGCACAAAACAAATTTGTTTGAGACTACTTGCTTAAACTCGAAGTCTTTATGCCAACCCTCTCTAGTTACGCTGGTGTCGTAATACTAAAATAGAAGAGTTTGCTTTCGATATCGACATCAAGTGTGAAATATCTGTCCGTCAAAGGAGTCCAATTACAGTTGGTGAATTTCACACTTATCATTGTTTAGCCGTCTCCGTGATCTAAATCACATTCTTATTAGCTATCTGTACGTGTTAAGTTGAAAGTAAACAACCAACAAAGATTCCCTATAGGTAATCTAACAGACACTCGAGTGGAAATACCGTTAAAATTGGCAATCGAAAGTCGTCAAACGTACCAATATTGACCCAACAATACGGAACGGGAAACCCGAACAACGAAGTCATTCGGAATGCGAATAATAGACTCAATCGTCCATATGAAAGCCGAACAAATTAACAGTTTGCGTCTGTCCCTAACATTTCGATCGACGTTACAAACGAATGAAATCGATAGTTCAGTGAGCCATACAGCTGTTAATGTTCCCGTCCATATGGTTATATGATATGGGTATTTTTTTTTAAATGTAGAAAAACGATTATGGCTACATTATGCTTTTAACAGCGAATGTGTTGAGGACTGTTTGACTAAAGATTTTCGGTTATTTATACTGTTTGCCTTTATGTTATTTATTCTGGTTTTCAAAGTGGTAATGATTTATTGTACCAACTGTGCTTTAAAATGCAATGATTTTGGTCAAATAAATAACATCAAACGATTGTAACCGTATCTCGTAAAATTGGAAGTATTTTATTCTGGTTCAGTCAACAGATCTTCTGACGTGAATCGATATCAATTTCCATATTTGGAAACATTTTGAAATTATGATGCCTGGGAAACCGTGTGACAAAAGGGGAAAAGTCTCATTAATACTTGCACTGATGATTCCTTTTAGACAAAATACCTGCATTAAATGTCATAGTTTGATATGTTTGGAATAAATAGAAATTTGAGCGGAAAGCATGATGAAGGGAATTCAGCTACATTTCCCAATGTTTCAGTTGTTACTGTTAGAAGTATCAGTGTTCCAGTTATCGCTAGTCAACACGTATATTATGTATTGTTTATTTCTTGCTTTTACCGATAAATACCTATTGTTTTATTGATGTATGTCCTCGTGGTTTTATTCATACAAGTATCTCCCAATAAATTTATTATTCACATCACCATGCACAACATATATTAGAACATAAATTAACATGTTAAATGCATGCTTGTCTGCTTGTCATTCTAGACGCATCAGAGCAAAACATGATTATCATCAGGGAATACAACTATATGTTATAGTTGAGAGTTCTATTTCGATACTTGCAAACCTTTAAAAAAAATTCTGGGGTATAAACTGTATCGTTAAACTTATAATATATCTAATATGCACTTACAACGAGACATACCTTGACAAAATGATGTTGTTAAACGCGATAGTGTAATTTTTATCACAAGTTAGTCTATACAATGATTTATTTAATCTGAGAAAGGAAATACGATGAAGTGAATTCGGCTGATTTCTACGCAAAAATACGGATGCATATTATGAGTCTACCTCCGAAACAGAGGAGGTGAAGAAAACTGACTTTGGCTATCCTGATTTACCTATAAAAATATTGAATTTCAGTACTCGCCTAGCATGATGTGGCATGATATACATGTAGATTACTTGTATGATTACAACTGTTACATAACTGATGGTAAATTATAAGTATCGATCTTATCAAAAGACTGTATTTAATAAATATATAATTGATTATATATCTTTTTGTTCTATTTCAGGTTTCCCTCAAGATGAGGCGGCTACATTTGACACGATGATGTACCGACATAGCGAGGCTCCCGAACTCACCGTCGGCTACTTCGACAAAGGGGAACTTGTCGGTGTAAGTCACGTCATACAATGTAAACTCCGCCGAAAGTAGGGTTAATGTTTCTAAGGACCAATCTCTTACTGTTTACTGTTTAAGAACAATGACAAGATCCACAAAAGATATCTGCTCTTTATTTTAATTTAATTTCACCAAAATACCTATAACATTGCTCAAGGGATCAACGACTGTCTCATGTTAAACAATAGCTATATCTTCATGATCAGTTAAATTCTAGAAAGTTATATCTATCACCACGGACTTAGATAACATAATCTAATCTAATTCCGTGCTATGTAACTCATCATAGTAGACACTGGAAATTAGGTCATCGGTAGAAGTCCCTGACTAAGTAGGCTTATCCTGATCTGTAGAACAGACACTATAAACAGGGATGGTTTGTATATTATAAAAAAGGAAAACAAAGTAAACGATAGTGAATATGAAGTCATCGTGTTGGTAAGAGTTTTGTTTTCGAAATGACTTTTATTGTCATATTCCGGTTATGATATGAAGACGCAAAGAAGGGTCTGTTGTAACTTCAATGTCAAATTCTAGGGGTAAGTTATAGGCAAATTGTTTATAATACTATCTTCGATTTATGTAATTGTGAAAGTTGCATCAGAATACATACCAATATCTCAGTCGAATCACAGTCAGGTCAAGCAACCGACTGTTTCCTACTGTTTTTCAGGGTTTGCCTGTTGACAGATAGGTAGGAACGTAAACTCGTTTACAGCGTTTTCATATGAAACGTTGAGCATGTGTTAAGGCTATTTACCTATATCATGTTTGATAACTGTAAGGCAAATGCATAAAGTTGTAACTCTTTCCGGTTCGTTAAGGCTATTTACCTATATCATGTTTGATACCTGTAAGGCAAATACATAAAGTTGTAACTCTTTCCGGTACGTTAAGGCTATCTACCTATATCATGTTTGATAATTGTAAGGCAAATACATAAAGTTGTCACTCTTTCCGGTACGTTAAGGCTATCTACCTATATCATGTTTGATAACTGTAACGCAAATACATAAAGTTGTAACTGTTTCCGGTACGTTAAGGCTATCTACCTATATCATGTTTGATAACTGTAAGGCAAATACATAAAGTTGTAACTCTTTCGGGTACGTTAAGCCTGACCAATCAGGAACTCATCGATATTCTCGTGTTTAGCATTGTCACGACAAACAATTAGGCCACACGCGCTCAGTAAATATTTCATACAGCTTGTATGCATGTCATAAATAAAAGAGAAGGGATAGGGATATGGCACACGTCACACGCACGGTACTTTGAAAGGACACTGTTCATCTGTTTCAAAAGCACCAATAATCTGGTGCTAAAATCATCATTAACTGTTTTGGTACTAAATGATGCATGTCCACATGTTTACAAATATTTTTATACTCTTCACCATTATTTTTTTATTATGCGTTTATAATTCAGGGAAATAAAGTACCTTATATGTATAAAACAAGGCAAAAGCAATACGAGGTGGTTATCAGTGTTACGTGAACGAGGAACAATAGAAAGGTACAAATATTTGACGACCTACCCTATCCATGTTTCTGGTCCTTAGCAATGTCACTTTATTTTTTTGTGCAACTAATTTAGAAATATCGATGTCGTTTAATGGTTTAGCTGTGTATAAAGTAAACAAATTGAAGTACTATATAATATACATTGAAGATGTTCATTTTCTTATGACACGACGAGATAATAAGTATTTAAAAATGTTAAAATGGCAACAAAAGTAATCATTATAATTATGAAACGGACTTCTGATCAATTTGAATATACAGAATGTAGTTAAAATAAAAGTAAAAAGCAAATGTTTGTTCACACGTATAAATTATATTGGAATCCATTTGGCTGTCTCAATCTAGATCGTGTGATGTGTTCGTCCGTCTGTATTTTGACCAAGTCCTATACCATAAATAAATAACCATAGTCAATGTTTAACATAGCATATTTCTTCAATTCCTACTTCATAAACGTAAAACACCAATTCCCTAAAAAGTCCCTAGTCGCTTTAAATGCAATCTTTGGTCACAAGTATTTCACATCGATAAAACAAAAGACATTACATACCGCTAGAGATAGGTGGACACAAGCTTGAGATTAGATTGGACGATATTTGTTTAAATACAAATGTATACATTGGATTACTGGGATGATAATCCTCAATCAGGGTGACAGGCGATCGTTTTATCTACAGCCAATCTACATATAACAGGTTTAGAAGAAGGGGTTTTATCGCGTGACAAGGTGTCGTGTTATCTAACGCTACCTGTTGGTCTTTGTGTTGACACCACGCGTGCTACAGATCACAGCGTTTGTTTGAATAGCGACAGATCACAGATTTTGAATGAATAAATCAAGCTTAATTAGCATATAACAATGTAAAGTACTCGGGTCGGAAAACAAAGATAAGGCAAACAATCGGGGGTATTTTCGGTGGAAATTGCTTGTAACAAACAATGCTTGACTCTTTGATGAGTGGTGATAATTGAGTGAAGAAACATAAGAAAATGCCTACATTAGGTAGGAGACCGGGTAATAGGTTATACCGAACACTGCCTGTACAAGGAAAACAAAAACCACGAAACTCGGCAACACTGCGCGTAGTTTTACGGGTAAACAATACACTGATTCTGTCAGAGTAACATAACACAGACCTTGGTAAAATGTTAAAATCAATAAGATTATTATATAACTTAAGAAATATAGCGGAAACGTCAACTACATTATTGCTATACCTGTATTAGAAATGGAGAAAGAGCGTTTATCAAATAAAGTGCCCAGTTTTTATAGCTTTCACCTAGTTTGAAGATAACATTTTTCATTCTTTGCATTAGTTTGATTGATTTGGAGTTAGAATTGCAGTTTTGTTAACACTATGCATAGCTTTGTTTCCTTGCCGGCTTACTTTTGTTTCTGTTTTATAAGTTTTTGTGACATTGCTACATTTTTGTTTTGTTTTACACAGTATGTGTCTGGGACCCGTTTCCATGAGCCAAACCTTACTCATGCTGCCATGAATATGCACATTCCCAATGGAGGTAAATATGTAATAGTTTGTTGTGGCTCTAGGAATGATCAAATCTACTCATTCACTTGACGAGAGGTTTTACAATAAAGCTAAGATGAATAATAGCCAGTTCCCCAGACTTAACAGGAGCATCAGCATAAAGTGTATATCGATTTTTTTTACTTCAAGTTGGGATAATGCTGTAATCTTGCTCGCCACAGTTATCTCTTTTGGTTAGTTGCATTGCTCATGATAAACACACTTTACAGATTATTTAACTTGAAATTATCCAGTGCTCCTCTTAACTTTTTAGCTCACCTGAGACAAAGTCTCAAGTGACCTATTGCGATCGCCTTTTGTCCGTCGTCGTCCGTCGTGCGTCCGTAAACAATTTACATTTTCGACTTCTTCTCCAAAACCCCTGAACCAATTTCAATGAAATTTTCCAGAAACCTTCCATGGCCAAAGGTCAAAAAAGAGTTGCCGCTTTGGTCCCCGGCCCCCAGGGGCCTGAGGGGCGGGGCCAAAAAGGGTCAAATTGACTAAAACTTCAAAAATCTTCTTCTCAAGACCCAGATATGGTGGAATCAAATACTCTTCATAGATGGAAGGGTCTTAAGGTGCTTTACCAAACTTTACTATAGTTTATATAGGGAAATCACATTTTGGACCAACATTTGTTTAATTTCCATTGTAAGTAATTAAATTTAGGTTAGCATTATCAGTATTGGATAGCAGTTTGATGGTATGAACATATAAGCCCTGACTGACCCCCCAGGGCTGATGGGGGGGGCCAAAAAGGGTTGAATTGACTGAAATTTAAAAAAAAAATCTTCTCAAAGACCCAGATATGGTATAATCAAACACTCTTCATAGATGGAAGGGTCTTAAGGTTTATGACCCTAGGGTCTCAAGGCAAAATGTATTATGGTTGATAATGGCAAATGATACTTTGAATATTACATGTTAATAACTGATTGGAATTATAACCCCGAGTTGACAGTTTGATACTTTGAAAATTTTGAGCCAGCCCTACCCCCAAGGGTTGTAGGGTGGGGCCCAAAGGAGTCAGTGTGCTAAAATTTCTTCATTTTCCTTGTTTACAATCAGAGGTGCTAATTTCAAATGCTTTTTAGTCTTAAATCTGTATGCTAGATATTGAATAAGGTGGTTTTATTGTTTTTTTGTCACTGAATAATATTTCTGTTCGTGTTAAAAACAAAATTAATTCTCTGTATAAATATATCAGGTGGCTGTTAAGGCCCATGGGCCTCTTGTTAACGTTAAGTTTTTGTTTTCTCTCTCAGTTTCAACAGTAGTTTAGACAATTGAGATTTACAACGTTTTGGCCCCTAGCATTGTCGACGACAGTATACATTTATTTCCCCTTGTTTAAGGGGAAACACGATTTTTTTGTTATCCCGAGATAAACCATATTTCATGAGGGCAAAGCGCTATTGTTGTGTTCTCCTTCAGTCACTTACAAAACTGGGTTTTGGTGGTTCTTGTCATTTTTCTAGATAGGCTCCGAATCAGGAGAATATGACAACGGGAACTCGATCGAATAGGACGACACGGTGTATTGTTGTCACGTCATGTGATGAATATAGTCCAACCAGACTCGCTGTTATATAGATGGGGTAAAATAATAATGTTCAGCTCACTATCTAGTTCTATGATAATCATGACAACCTTTGAATGCTTTCCAAAGACAAGATTTCAGTGACTGTCCTAAATAGACACTACCACGTTAAGTCACAAGTTTAAGACATCGTGCCAGGTGTTACACGTGTTATATCAATCGCTTACTCTCATGAAACACGTGAGTTTTGGTTTCAGTTTTTATCCGGATTAGCGCCGTGCTTCTGTTTCTTATTTTTTTCCTTGGTTTCTGTCGTTCACTTTAGCGATATCAAGTTCTGTTTTGTTGGTGATATGTTGGTATGTTTGTTTGGTTTTTTGGACGTAACATTTATTATGCTCACATGGAGCATCAACATTTTACTAGACGTAACAAAAACATTCGTTTAGAAGAAAATAAACATTAATCTGACGGAACAAAAACACAAGCTAAGATGAAATATCGGCATCTTACATAACATGAATGAACAGATCAATTTACAGATGCTTGATTCTCCATTATTTAACGCTGTAGACATTAAATATTCAAATTCACATTTTAATGGTTACACACATTATGACAAACTACCAAACTGTATGACATTAACCTTTACGGTATTATAATAATGACCGCTTCACTACCGAACCCATTGCCATTAACCTATAATATGATAAAGTGGTCACCTCTTTACCAACCCTACTGGATTTACCTATACTATTACAATAATGATCGTCTAACTACTAGTATCAAACCCAGTGATATTAACCTATAATATAACAAAGTGGTCACCTCTATACCAACCCTATTACACTTACCTATAATATTATAATAATGATCGTCTAACTACTAGTACCAAACCCAGTGACACTTACCGATAGAATAAATAAAATTGGTCATCTTTCTTCCATCCTTTATGATAAATTTAGGGAGTCAAATTTCTCTTTCGTTCAATGCCCTTTCGTCAAGTGTAACACATCAATTTACTTTGCTTATGTCTGCTCCAAATATAACGCTTTTCCTATAGATGTGGTATGTTTATCAAAAAAATACTTCAAGATTCAAGAAGCTTTATTTAACGTCGCATATACATGTAACATGATAACATTAGCACTGTAGTGCTATTCTTGCGGCAAAACATATATAAAATATAATAAGGATCGCAGTACTTATGAATAACTATAAAAACAGGACAACAATTCAAATTAGATATGCTAAAATTATACAGTTAGAGCAAATGATATCACACTTGAATGTCACACAAGTGTTACGAAAGACAAGTTAAGACACTATACTAGTGTAATGTACATATATGCTAATGTAGCAAAGTGTAAAAATTAAAAAGAGACAATGAAGTCATAAATAGAAACAAGAGCTATAATTATGATATTGTAAAAAAGTAATGATCTTTTAGATAATGGAGCTCAAATCTAAAATAGCTATCAATTATATAATAAGTATATTACTGAAGTACATTAAATTAAATAACACAAGCAGCAGTGAAATTAAATAGTTGTAGTATAAAGCATGTAGGTAGATTCCAAAGGGGGACAACTCACACTATATGGTGTGTGCAGATAGCACATGAGTAGACATTTTTGTTCCAGGTGCGGAGCAGCCCACGAAATGACTTATAGTTTTCAGCTGATCGAAGTTCATTTGGTAGGCTGATCCACACCTGGGAAGCAGCAAATCGGAAAGATCTCTTACCATGTGTGGAGGTGTTCACCTTTGGAATCGTTACCAGGTTATCTTGTCTCAGATTATAAAAAAATTCTTTCCTCTCAACAAGATTTTGTAAAATTGATGGAGAAATTTCATTTAAATTTTAAAAATCTCAGAGGCCATATCTTTCATACGTTTTACATGTAAAAAATCGAGTTTGTGTTTTCTAAGAATATCAATGACTGGGGAACCATAATCATTTTCAATAAAACGAAGTGCTCGTTCCTGAACTTTTTCCATTTTTCGAGTATTTGTCAATATACAAAAGTGCCAGGCAAGTGGAGAATAGTTAAAATTTGATAGAATAAAAGACTTAAAAATGGTAAGTTTTCCTTTCTTTATAAGATTGTTTCCCAGTCTTTTTAAAACAGCAAGTTGTTTAGTAGCATTTCTGTAAAGGCGAGATATATGTACATCAAATTTAAGAAGAAAGTCAATATCCATACCTAAAAGTTTCACACTGTCTTCACAAACAATCTCAAGGCTTTCAATATTAAATATTACTCTGTGTTTTCTATCCGACAATACTTTCAGTATTATGTTTTTCAGACTGATATGCTGTGATGATAAACAAAGTACTTACTAAGTTATTTCTACCCGAAAATGCTATAAGTGACAGGTTTTGTTGATAGCTGTGATATGTTGATCAATAAACTACTTGTCAATGTTTTCTATTCGGTAATGCTTTAAGTATTATACTTTTGGGATAGATGATAGATGTGTCATGTTGAACTATAATGTACACTGCCAGTGATTTTGGTCCCAAGAGGCTTACCTTTCCGGATATCTGGTTTCGCCTCCGTTTTATTTTCTTTTGTGGTTCTTCTGCAGTTTTTATTCCTTTTACTAATATAGTGAAATCTCTATCTAAGATGACGTATAGGTCACGCCAGCCTTGCTGGACCCTCAAACATACCTTGATACATTGTCATGAAAAAAGTCAAATATTATCAACAATTTATGTGATAAAATATCTATGGTTTTGTCTCTTTACAGAAAGTGTATGTATCCACTCTGTTTGTGTGGCGGAGCTCCGGAGAAGACAGGTAAGTTATCTCCCTTCTTGTGTTTAATAATTTTGTACATACGAAATGTAAACAAATTTAAAACGGTTTTGTAAAAAGCAAATAACATAAATGCATTTATTGTGACCAATTGAGCAAAATAAGAGTTAATTGATTGAAAGAAACACATGTTCACTTAATAAGAAACTTACAGCAGTGTTTAAGAACTGAATCAAATAGTTAACTGTTTAGTCTTTACCACAAAATGGTACATTTTAGAAAAATGGAAAAAATGGAAAACATAAAAGAGTATAAAGTTTAGTAAGGAAAAAGTATGAACATTTAAAAGTATATTCAAATCAATCCAGAGAATTTTAAAGATAACGGTAAAAGAGGTAAAGGTTATCTAGAAATGCTAACAATAATGTTTTAGAAGATTTGCATTACAAACAAGAAAACATTTTGGGAAAAACCTAATACCGTATACACTTTGAAAACATTAGCAACACATGAATATGATTAATTCCATCTCTGTATATCAATTATGCTACATGGACTATGGAAGTGATGGTTATGGGTGCAGGGAGTCAGCTTTGGGTCATTCATACGTTGCTTATAAATCTATAGAATAGGAACTAATTTGTCATAATATTAATAAAAGGATGAATTAACGTGTGGAAGAATGGACGACTATAAAAACTGAATGAATGAAAGTACTTTTGAATTAAGTAAGAATGATATATTGATATTATGTTCATGGTCTAGGCCAGGCCCCATCCTGATATTCCCTGTTTATAAAATGTTTTCATGTGGGGCAAAAAAATATAAAGGAAAAAGATCGTACCTGCATGTAATTCCGTTGCATAATTAGTCGAACCGTCAATGCTTCCGCCTGGACCTTTTCCTTTCCTTATACCTGCCCTTACCAATGCAATCAAGGTATATATTGTTCAAATTGTACCTGTTACTGATTTTTTTTTATATTAACAGGGAATTGCCTCGAGATTACTTGATTGGTACACCGATGCCATGAAGACAACGGAAACTGATGTAAAACGTATCTTACTGATTGCCCACTCTAAGCTGATACCTCTCTACACACGGGCTGGCTTTACCTTCAAGTGCAAGTCTAACATAGTCCATGGTAAGTACTCGTGTTATCTCCGTACCACTTCTCAGTAGGTTCAGGGGAATTCATAGGCATGCCATTAATCATTACCTGGTAATAAAAAGGAGCCAAATGCAGTTACCTGAGATAATCGGGGATTTATCAATGACCTTGCACTAAGAGGGGCTTGAAACATACCTAAAGAAATGAAAACAATAGCAATGCCTGTACTATATTCTCCTAAACGTTTTTAAAACTCATTTGCTTTTAGTGTATTTCCTGTCACACACGTAACGATTATACATAGTCACAAGTCTACCGTTTGCCAATGTTAACCGTTTGTATTCTTTCACTTCCATATGACTGTATTGAGTGGCTGTTATTTTTTTATTAAGACAACAATTCGGAAATTCAGTAACCGACATTTGTATTTTACATCATCATTGATGCGGACTATCAGTTGTCCGTATCGGTTTTCTTGAGCGGTATTTTGGAATCGCTTTAACAGCACATAAGAGTAGGTTTTTAGCGGACACAAATGTTAACGTATTTTAGAAATTTAACAAATTAGCGCATTTATTAATTGGCTCCCTCACAATATTTGCAATAGAAAAATATGTCTTGCATGTTGATGCAATAGAATCGTAAATCATTTCTGTAGTTTAAAACGCAAAAAGAGGGAATCAACTTACATATGCTTTTCATTAGTTTATTTCTATTCCAGGTAAGGAAACTTGGTACGAGATGGAAATGCTTGTATGATATACAAGATATTACGTCAGGTGGAAATGCTTGCTCAAATGAAATATTCTTCGTCTGAACCCGGAAACGAAGTACTCACGACAATGCTTTCTTTATTAAACACCTTTATTGAGAGCGGATCAGCATTACTAAAGACCCTGTCATCTACATACTAAAGACATAAAACAATACGTGTCAAGATATTGTAACACGTTTATTTTGACTTTAGGTTTTTTTTGCCTTTTTTCATTGAAATATTTTTAACAAAATCGAATAAAAATCCCGGCTTTAAACGGGAATACATCTACCCATTTACAGTTATAAATTACATATTAACGCAGCATGTATGTATAGAACGCTTCACAAGTGTACAAAACCAGATTTAAGAATGATATGTCCGCATCGGTATTTTGTGGAAGCAAAATTCAGGTAGATTATTATAAATATCACTTTCTATTTAAAGTAATTCAGAGAGTGCTCCAGGCACCAGTTGTTATGAGTAAATGTATTTTTGTGTCATGTAGAAAGAAACTTTAACGTATGAATTCCTCGGTAAGCATAGTGCGAGAAAAAACGATGTACGGTTGGGTCTGTCTAACTGACAGTGATGTACTTGTGAATTTGAAATATGACAGCTGTACGATTCGAGAGATTGGGTGACACAGAGTTAAATGGAAGTTCTACGACTTCGTGTCTGTGATATAAGTGCTTGATAGTCAGTGTTATTCGATTATATTTTATCAGTATTGTCATTTGCATATTTTGTTTGTATAACTTGTTCACATCTTACTGTTTTGCGTGGGCGGACAGTTACATATCTTAACCGTATTACTGATGGAGGGCTGCATGGATGTAGACCTCAGTTTTTTAAGGAATATTTTTAAGCTGTACTTTTCTACTAGCTTATCTCCCCCTAGTTTGAAGCTTAGGACATCCAAGTATAATTCAAATATAAGAGTCTATTTTGACTGAATAGTTCAAAATATATCGAGACGGGGGCCAGTTTGAAGTGAAGGTCTTAATTGCTTTGTGAGCAGTGAGATGTCTTGATTTCTTGACCATATTGGAACACATTTCTTGTGTGAGCGGTTATATGTTGTAATTATATTTGTGTGAGCTACTATCTGTCTTAACTGTACATGTGCGCGAGGTTAAAATTTCATTAATACCAGCTGTTAGATACATTTACTTGTCTTGATACTATATGCTGGATGCGTGAATCGACTTAATATAAGGTATTATTGTTTTAACTGGTACGTCTCCAGGTAAATTATAGCTGTGTTTGTCCATTAAATACATTGGCTGCGTTAATGTAATGCGAATTCCTTTACCGAATTATATATGTATCATACCTTAAATCAAACTCTTACGCATATCTCGATTGAGGATCATTGTATTTGTATTTCACAATTATTACATCGCAATAACTATTGTAATAAATATGTATATTTACCGAAAATTGGTTTAGGTTGTTTATTTTGAGAACACACCTGGGAAATAAACTAAAAGGAAATTTGACCAATAGGTTTTTTCTATTGCTGTTACCGTTCGTTTTAAATAGATATGCATACCAGGTGTTGCAATATGCGGAGGTATATCTCGCCTGTCGGTAGTGTTATAACTGTTCATATAATTATAAACATAAAGTGAAACGGTTAAAGAAAATGAGGTGGGCCGAATACGGAGTCCACGTTTGAAATGTTTGCAATCATTGCAGTACTATTTGGTCAATGGTGTTTTCTTCCGTCATCTTCTCTAGTCAGGTCAGTTTCTTGTCTTATGCTGTCATAACCCGACTTCAAATAGACCTTAAGGTAATTTTCTTACTTGACAAAAAACTAGGCACTTTGCTTCATCTACGACCTGATACTGTTTTTTGTATTCGGCTCGGTTATCATTTTATCACATACCTGTTGAATCTTGTTATAGTAATACAAGCAATTTTCAGACCATGAAATACAACCTTCTGTATTGCACATGTGCAATACGGAATGTTGTATTTACCTACTAGCCGGAACTAATTTTCTATGGGAATCCCCTTGTCATGGAGAACTGAAAAGTTCCTGGTATTTGCAAAAAATATCAAAGTTTATAAACTCTTTGTATCGATCTCTACCAAATACGAAAAGTATGTGATAAAAGCAAGACCACACACTTTTCCTAACGAATCAGAAAGCACTATTTTATTGCGCTGACGTATATATTCGTCCGCGCAATAATCTTGTGCTTTCTGATTCGTTAGAAAAACACAAGTGTGTGATCTTGCATATTTATTGATATCTCTCGTTCGTTCTTTGTCGTAGCTTTCTTTATCCTTATCACTGACAGCTTGTTACCTCAATCAGTCCCGCTTATTGCTTTGTCGTCACAGTCATCCATGTACATTCGGATCTGGTCCCAATCAGGCACTCGCTAAACCTAGAATGCAAATCAAAACTTATCATCACAAAATTCAGCATCAACGTAACTGGAAATATCAAACATCGTATACAGCATTGTCAAAACATAGTAGAGAATTAGCAAGCTTTTATGTGAAATCACATAACAAGTAATATATAAATATACATATAACATTGAACTAAGAACAAGTTTCTCGTACCACTTCACGTTTTAATGCTCCATCTAAATGATGGTTGTTACTCTATTATCAACATAGGCGTTTATCTCAAAACGTATAATTGCAATATGCAGCTATAGCCCTTTCCTGCATAATATGAGTTTTTCTGCTTAGGGCCAAAGAAGAAACCCTATTGCATGTGTATCGTGTGAGACACCCCTTTGCTCCTCCTCCTCCAAATCGATTTGTCTTTTCTGTATATTCAGCTTAAGGGTTATCAAAGAGACCAGTAATAATCGGCTGCTAACACAGATGTCTGTCTCTCCGAAGTCTTATCTACTCTATCTTTTTTGGTGATGTCTGCCAAGTGAACCGTCTTTGTACGACCACAGATGTTGCAAGAACGTAGAACAAAACCATACAGAAATATACCTGTCAACACCAACGATCAAACAATACCCCCATTGTGTTTAACTTAGTCCTACAAGCAATACAAATTGATAAAACAAAATGCATGTCTTTTCCCTCAAAAGAACAGGGCGCAAATTCATCAAAACACGTTTTTCTTTTCCCCACCCCGTCATGTTTATAATTGAATTCGACATGAGTTTAAGACTACTATATTGCTCGATGAATAAGGAATATCAAGTTAGCGGGCTGTCAACAAAGGGATATCCAGAGCCACCTGGTTCGCACATTCAGACGTCAGATCTCCTGCTGTATGTTTCGGTCCCTTAATGGCTTTCATGATCCCATCATACTGTGTGTCCAAGTTAATTCACCCAGCTCAGTTTACCTGTTTCGAGGTTATTTTATTCCCCGCGATAACGAGACTCACAAAAAAGATAACTTTGAAATATACAAAAGTCGGCCAAAAAATAGAGATAACCATTTAGTACAGGTTATGAAAAGTTTAGTACAGGGGAAAGATTTTTAAGTAGCTGCCTTATTTTTCAAGTTTCATATGTCTATTATAGACTACTACGAACATTACCGAACAGGTTACATATACTTTATATTAACCATGAAGCCAAACAAGTGTTCGAAATACAAAATAAGAAAATACCTGTTTAAATATCTAGTGTGTCGTTGCAGAAACAAAATTTAACATATAACATCACCATAATTATGTTCCTTTGATTTTGTTTTTATTTGCATTTGCGTTCCTGTTTTGAGTTAGAATTATAGTTTATTTCAAGCTAAGGTATCCCTTGTTGTTTTTTCATAAAAGCAAGCAAACATTTTTTGGAAATTTGTTTTAATTAACTCTTATGACGTCACAGAATCGTGATTATGTCAATACGTGTTCACAACTCATACTGAACAACATGTAATATTGTGACATCAGAATGTGTTAAAAGGGAAAGCATGATTGACCTTCATTTATATAGTCTAATACGCAATCCATAGTCTAAGCTATCGATTTCGTAAATGCATTTCCAATTTTACACGTATTGTTGCTTGCGATCACAAAGTGATGTTATGAGCATTGGTAGTTGTGTAGGCGAGACGTGCTAGTGACTAGAAATAGTGACTAGATATATCGGATAGCTAGTTTAAAGTATAAATGACATAATGATAGCTATAGTACGGGTGTTTGTTATAAATACCAGCTGTAGAGTTGATAAGAGCAGTTTATATGATGACTTGGGCTGTTACAGGGTAGTTATAGCACTTCTGTCATTTTGTTAAGTCGTATTTTCGCTCGTAGACAGCCATATTGGAACATGCTGTAGTGATGTAAACCCATAGTACGCGTATCTCATTGGCTGGGTTCAGAGTTAGGAGCCAATGAGAACTGTCCGTGGTATATATAAGCCGGTGTCTTCACGTACGCAGGGCAGACAGAGATTGACAGCTTGTCAAACCATGTCCAGGTAAGGATGGGTTAACTGCCATTTATCTAGAAAGGCTCTCAGGTTTACCCTTACAAAACCATTCCATTATGATGTATACTTGTTATTAAACTTAAATTTTGATATTACTTACTGTCCATATTCTACAATGGCAACAACATTTACAATGGTTATTATTGTTAACACTGTTGATATTTTATACTATTATTAAATACTGGGAAATGTTATTTCTGACTCTGGTTTTCATTTCTTTTATCTCCCCCCTGATGGGAAAAGAATACAGTGGAAGAGGGATAATGAGGAATAGGTGTCTGGCATATGAGATCACAGAATTAAACACAACGCGAAGTACATTATCATGCCCACCATATCCGGGATTGACACCTATTCGACAGAAATCCGCCTTCTACTACAGTTGTACGGTTAAGCTACACATCTATCTGAATTTGATGAAGCAAAGAGATTCATCAATCATCTAACAAGTTGCTCCCATCAACTAGCAGCTTTACAGAAATAAAAATAAGTCTGGTTGTGTTACAGCTACTATTAGATACCCTGTGTATAACCTATATCATACATAGTTACAAGGTTGATAAGACATAACGAAGGGAATATTATGGACGTTAATGATTGGCGAAATATTCAAACACAATTTGTTGACAATTTCTATATTGTTTGAAGATCGTCGGTGGGCATAATCCACTTGAAATCGCTATATTCATGTCACGATCGGTACACTTTGCTGGATGCACTTAATCCTCTTTGAAGCGAAACCTAAATTTGTTGAAATTATTTTACTTCTGACTGTGACCTTCTTACCTTCATGATTATTAGACCGCATGAAAAATACGTCATAAATTCCCAACACTGGATATCTTAATTTTAAAGGAATAACGAGTGTATGTGCGGGTCGATTATAGAGAGAAACAAGAAACTTTCCATTCTATTCTTACAGTTACTGAATCATGCAATTGTCAGCTTTTATCCTGACAACATGTGTAAGCATTCCATTGTGTATATAATATAATGAATGTTGGATTTACTCTATTTTGCATATTTGTTCGGAATCATCAGATACGACAAATAAATAAACAACAGACGATTTGCACAACCAGTATATTTATTTCATATAAAGTTTATTAGCTAATGTGTTTTGACCATCGCAAAATTTGTCTTTTCATTTTTGTCTACCGTATATCTATGACATCAGTTAAAATCTGTACTGAGGCAAATCCTTGTGTCTCGGTACCGCGACTAATGTGATTTTAAGTTGAAGTGCATATAGGTCCTTTTAAAAATGAATACTACCCAGGTCATAACATCTATAAGCACTCTAATCAATGGTACAGTAGAGTGTGTTGTGATGCGGAACAAGATTTGAAGATAACATATAATTTATTATTTTTATGGGTTTTTCCAAGGCGTTAGTGGTGTGTTAGTGTGTGCCAGCATCTTCCCCGTATACAAACCAAATTATTTGTTTTTCAATGTAAGTGTATAATTCGCATGTTATTGCACTTATTCAGCTGGCTTATAGAACATGTATGATAACTTTAGACACACATTTGTTTTGCAGCGGTAGTACAGTTAGACCTGCTCGTGTGACCACCTTTATTGATTGACCACATGTGGTAAAAGATCACGTTTAATATTCCCCATTGTAGTAATTTTCCATCTGAATTGAACTCTAAATTAAGAGATAACTTTTGTTGAGAGACCACGTTTTGAATTTTTGTTTTGGATGGTCGCTTAATACAGAGTTGATTGTACTTACACTGATAACAATTTTAGACAACGTATGCATAAGCGAACATGTGTTTGAAGTAATGTGATTGGGACGTAAACATTGTGACGTTAGAATGAAATACACAAAAAATGTTAAAAAGAACCTCGCCAATTTCCCTACACTTACCTGATTATTTAATCACATATAATGAATCTTCATCAACGTGGTTTTGTAAATACATTTAACACACCATTATGCTATAGTTTTTGGGAAATTTGAAATTGGAATAAAGTTTATTTTCATTGTTAAATTAG